CCCCGCCCCCGAAGCCCCTCACCCGCGGTGCTCTCGCTCTCCCGGATCAGGAAGGAGCCGTGCGTGTTCCCGGGGGCCAGCAGCTGCCGTTCAGCATCCTTGCGGCTCAGGTTTTTGAAGAACCAGCTGCGCAAGGCACAAGCGAAAGCCGTCGTCTGCTGGAAGGTGCTTCCTCCATCACCCTCGAGCATTCACCATCACCCCCTAGTAGCGCTCCCCTGCTCCGGGGTCCCTAGATCTGCTTGCTCCCACCCATCCCCACGACGAGTCCCCACTCACGGTTCGGGCTCCAGGCTGTTTGCTTTGGCCACGAAGTTGAAGGGAATGAAACCTTCCTGGCCTGTGGTCAGGGACTGCGCCTTCCACCACTCGCCGTTCCTGAGCAACAGCCGTGGTCAGCGTGGCCTGCTCAGCCTTGGAAACCCTCCCTCCAGACCCCCAGTTATACATGCCACACCGCCCTCCAGCTCCGCACTCTCCAGCCTTTCATTTTGTCTCAAGGGTGCCTACTGCAAGCCAGTCAGGGCCTGCAGGAGGGCTGCGGTACTGGGGATCCCCGCTCCCTCACCCCCTCACTCCCACAGAGCAAGGATGGGTGGCATAGAGGGGGCACTCACTGCTCCAGGATACGGAGCTGTTCACCCTTCTCGAAGCCCAGGTCTCCATCGTGAGAGGGCTCATAGCTGTGCAGGGCGATAACCAGGTTGTCTGTAAAGACAAGGGGGTGTCAGGGAGAACCAGCCTGAAACCGACTGGGAGCATGGAGTTCTGGAGTTACAGGGCAGAGCACAAGCCTGGGGGCGAGAGAGGCAGGACAGAGTAGACGGTAGATGGGAAGGAGATGGAGACCAACAGCCAAGGATCCACAAGCCTTATCGTCCAGGCCCTGCTGGTTGAGGTCACCTTGCAGTGGGGAAGCTGGGGGGTTGGTGTCCTGGTAGGTGACCAGTGGATCCCGCACCTCAGAGCCATTCCGGATGGGCAGCTGTAGGGTAGGGGATGAGAGTGAGGTCAGACAGCAGGAGGCTGGGTCAGACCCTGGCTCCGCTCCCCACCGCTCTGCTCTCCTTCACTTCTCCAGCCTAGCTGGGTCTTCTTAATCCTGAATTTGCCAACTACTTGCTGTGTGACCTTAGAAAAGTCCCTTCCCTTCTCTGGGCCTCTTTTCCTTTTTGTATTTCAGGGGAAAGGGCCGCTCTGTTATTTCAAGGACCTATAGTAGTGGTCCATTTTGTTTTCTGAGTTGTGTACTCCACCCAGCTCCCTCACCAAGCCTCATACCTTGCCTCTTACCATAGCCTTGCCATCCAGTGGGACTATGGGGTAATGGCAGTTCTCACATACATCGATGTTTTCCATCCAGTCATCTTCAGGGTTTGAGCTGCAGCCACAGCCCATGGTCCCTGGGGAAATGGAGAGGAGCTTAAGGGGCTCCCCCAAGATCTACTCACCTGACATCAGGCATGCTGGGGCTTAGCCCTGAAAACTTCCAGAAGTACCTGAGTTGTCAGCCCTCCTCCCCAGGCACTCATTCACCAGCCATAGAAAAGCTGAAATAGGGCCCTAGCTACTGACTGATGCTCCCTCTGAGCCCCCATGCCACAAGTAAAGTTATACAGGCCCCTCGCTGAGCCCTAGGCCCCACCCTCCCACCTGGGATGGGCAAACTGACACAGGCACCTTTGTTAGTCTAGTTGCCCGCTTCCTGCTTCTCCCCCACCCACACTCTCTCTGCCCATCCCCCATGTTGGGGGACTACCTGCTAGAGATCACACACTTCTTCCAAACCCTGGGGGAGACCTAGGTTTTGATCCGCCCAGGTAGCTGAATAAAAGACTCCTGCTCCCAAAGCCAGCCATCAGGTCTCTGCCCCCTCACCCCTCCCATACACAAAGTCTCCTTTAGAGGGTTCTTTCTTCTCCTCCCCAGCAGAAAATCCTTCAGTGACCCTATTGGCTGTAACTTTTTTATTTGTTTGCTTGCTTTAGCAGTGGAAACTTTTTGTCAGATGAAATCAAGCAGAACCCCATAGATAAAGCAGGTAAAAAAGGAGCTGTTCTGCCTGAAGTGGAGTGGGGCCTCTCTCTGAAGCCCGTGGGAGTCCCTGAGACACCTCCTTCCCTGGGCTGCTCCTCAGAACTGCTTGGAAAGCACTAGTCCTCAGATAAAGTTTAATTTACCAGGCATTCGAGACCCTTTAATATCAAGATCAAATTCACCTCCTCAGTCTATTCTGTTACAAACACACATACACAAGCATCCCCACCTATGCACTCACACAGCCTGTGTTTCAAACTACACTTGTCTCTCCCAAACACCCCACACTATTTTCTTCCTCCATGTCTTTGTCCATGTTATTCTCCTGCCTTGGAATGCTCTCTTTTTGTTCATCTATTGAGCTCAGCCTTCAAGGCTCCGCTCAAATATCACCTGCTCTGTGAAGCCTTCCCAACGCTCTTTGCTTCTACAATTCTACTCAGACCACAATCATCAACTTAGGCATTAAGTGCCATCCCTAGACTGATTTATGTGTCAATCCCACTGCCTCTTCCATCCTCTTGATAAGATGGGGAAAATTCCTTAAGAACAGAACCTGTTCTTTATTTGTTGAATGCCCCAGCATCCAGAACTAGTTGTCATTAATAAACTACCCAGGCCAGGTAGCTCAGTTGGTTAAAACATTGTCTCAATACACCAAGATTGTGAGTTTGATCCCTGGTCAGGGCACATACAAGAGTCAACCAATGAATGCATAAATAAGTGGAACAACCCCCTCCCCTCCCGGCCCTCTTCCTCTTTCTCTAAAATTAATTAATTAATTTATTTATTTATTTAAAAAAATGTTGATTGGTATGTGGAGGGTTAATGCACAGATTCCCTCCCAGATGAGAAAAAGCTAAACACTTCATCACCACCAAACCAGTAATATAAAAAACATTAAAGGAACTTCTTTAAGAAGAAGATTTAAAAAGATTAAAAATATGAATAATAAAATGGCAATACCTACATACCTATCAACAATTACTTTAAATGTAAATGAATTAAATCTAATCAAATGACATAGGGTTGCTGAATGGATAAGAAAACAAGACCCATACATATGCTGCCAACAAGACACCCACTTTAGATGGAAAGACACACGCAGACTGAAAGTAAAGGGATAGAAAAAGATATTTCATGCAAATGGAAATTAAAAAAAAAAAAAAGCCGGGGGAGCAATATTTATATCAGACAAAATAGGCTTTAAAACTAAAGCTATAACAAGAGACAAAGAAGGTCATTTCATATATAAAAGCCACAATTTGGAAGCAACCTAAGTGTCCATCAATAGACAATTGGATAAAGAAGATGTGGTATGTATGTATATACAACAAAATATTACTCTGCCATAAAAAATAATGAACTCTTAGCATTTGTAACAATATGGATAGACCTGGAGAATATTATGCTAAGTGAAGTAAGTTAGACAGAGAAAGACAAATACCATATGATTTCACTTATATGTGGAATCTACAGAACAGAATAAATAAATAAACAAAACAGAAACTAACTCATAGATACCGAGAACTGATGGTTGCCGAGTGGAAGGGCAGTCGAGGGGCTGGGTAAAAAAGGTGAAGGGATTAAGAAGTTCAGATTGGCAGTTATAAAATAGCTACTGGGTTGTAAAGTATAGCATAGGGAATGTAGGCAATAATATTGTAACAACTATGTATGGTGCCAGGTGGGTACTATACTTATTAGGGGGATCACTTTGTAAGTTATATAAATGTCTAACCACTATGTTGTACACCTGGAACTAATAAAATATTGAATGTCAACTGTGATTGAAAAATTAAAAAATTAAAAAAAAAATTAATGCGCAGATTCCCCATCTCCAAAGGTATTAGCAACCACCAAGTCTAATTTCTGATTTTAGGTGACTAAACCAATGCCTAGAGAGGCCTACTTAAACTCACACAACTTATTAGAACAAAAGCCAGAGTTGCTAATCCATGCTGGGCCCCAATGGAAGTGGGAGCAGTGGAGGTTTGAGTTAGCAAGACTTAAGGACAGCCCTAGCCAGTATGGCTCAGTGGTTAGAGCGTCGGCCTGGGTTTGATTCTAGCCAAGGACACATACCTCGGTTGCACGATCGATCCCCGGTCCCGGTCGGGGGCATGCGGGAGGCAACCAATCGATGTGTCTCTCACACATCTATCTATCTATCTATCTATCTATCTATCTATCATCTATCTATCTGTCAATCATCTATCATCTATCATCATCTATCTATCATCTACCTATCTACCTTTCACTCTCTCTCAAAAGCAATGAAAAAAATACATCCTTGGGTAAGGATTTTTAAAAAATTTTAAAAAGAGTTAAGGACATATGTCAATTATACCTCAACTTAAAAAAAAATATATCTTTATTGATTTCAGAGAGAGGAAGGGAGAGGGAGAGAGACAGAAACATCAATGATGAGAGAGTCATTGATCGGCTGCCTCCTGCACACCCCCTGCTGGGGATCAGGCCTGCAACCTCACTCAGCATGTGCCCTGACCAGGAACTGAACTGCATTTCCTGGATCCCAGGTTGATGCTCAACCACTGAGCCATGCCGGCCAGGCTATACCTTGATTTTTAAAAAATTGATTTAGGAGAGGGAGGGAGGGAGGGAGAGAAAGAGGGAGAGAGAGGGAGAAACATTGATGTGAAAGAGAAACATGGATCGGCTCCCAAACGAGCCCAGACCAGGGGCCAAACCCACAACCTGGTTATGTGTCCTGACCAGAAATCGAACCTGCCACCTTTTGGTGTACAGGAGGATGCTCCTATCAAGTGAGCCACACCAGCCAGGGCTATACTGCAATTAAAAATAAATAAATAAAAAGACTCAAGGACAGGCCTACAGTCAGAGACACCTAAGTTCAAATCCTGGTTCTGACATTTACTGTGTGATTTGCCGAAATCATTCTTCCTAAGCCTCCCTTTACCTTTTCTGTTAAATGAGGATCATAAGTTTTCTCATAAGCTTACATGAATGTTAGCTTAGTTTAGAGCTTAGAAAGACTTCCACCAGTGCCCATTCTGCCTCACCAATACCTGCTTTGGCGGATGGGATGACAATATTGGTAAGGAATCCTCTTTACTTCAAGTCTCTGTTTCTTAAACTGATATACTCTAAAGTTCTCATAGGTACCAGAGTCACCTGCGTGCATCTTTCCAGAGCATCTTCCTTGACCTTCTTCATATAGTTAAATAAACCCAGATCTATTATAGGGAAAAATGCAAAATATATATGGAATTTTAAGCCAAATCAAGCCATTAACTCTTCCCCCTACTGTTAGGAGTCCTGGAGGGCGGGGGATAGACATTTGAAAAATCCTGCTCAGCCACAGTTTACCCATCTGTGGTTGCAAATGGCTTTTTGACTGCTACTTTTATTATGGCCAGGAACTGATTAGTAGCAAAAGCCTCCAGAAAAGGACTATGACAACCTGAAGCCAGCCTAAGATGAGCTGAGCTATCTAGGAGGGTTGTGAGCATCCTGTTGTTTGTGATACTCAAAAAGGTCTTGGAAAACCACAGGTTGCTTATATTGTAGTGAGAACGCCAACATCAGATGGAGTGTGAACTGAGATCGGTAAGGTCCCTTCCAGGCCTGACATTCTTGGAGGCTTTGGGAAAGGGTAAGAGAAAGATGAGAAAAATTTGGGTTTGAAAAGAAGAGATGAACTAGGGTGAGGCAGTGAGGAGAGGCCAGTAGAAGGGCAAAAGGAATTTAGCTGGAGATCATAGGGCCGGAAGTGGGTACCTGGTCCAGGCTGAGGCCACCTGGGGAGGGAAAAGGAGCTACAAGGCCTTGGGCTTGGGTTCAGGAGATCACGCAGGTAGGACCTGATCCTGGATTGAATCTGGGCCTACCAGAGAGGACCTGACATCCCTAAAGACCGGGGCCATGAGTGGAAAAAGTCAAGTTGTGTTAAATTAAGCCAAAAGGAACTCTGCAACTCTGCCAGTATCTGACCCCTAGTGTTTCCTCTGTGGCTTGTTTTGTGCTCCTGAAGCCCTCCAGCCACAGATAGCAGACCCTGCTCTCTACCAAAGGTGAGCTTTGGAGTGTAGGGCCTGGCAGTGATCAGAAGACTCTAGGACCTGTCAATGTCAGAGATTATTTTGGTGAGTGGCTCCCAGCGTAGAGCCATGGGAGCAACATGCTCCTAGGAGGTACCAGGATAATGTTGGAAGCCTGTAGATTATTTTAGTATTTAAAAAATCTGAAGGGAAATTGTATTAGAATTTATTTCTTAGTTTGACAAATTGTATTATTGTTTCTTTAGTGCAGACTTAGTTAAGTGTGTGATTAAAATTTGAACTAGAAAACAAGAAAATTAGTACCTAAATGAGGTAGTTTAATG